ATATGTAAAGAAACAAAATAAAATATACGTGTTAAGCGTTTTTTTGGAAACTTGACCGTTTCTTAAATAAAAAATATTGTAATATTTGAGGGGTGGTTTCACCCTCTTGGAACTGGCATTTCGAAAAATCCCTTCTTATCGAACCTCTACACCCTAGAATCAACCTGTATGCCAAAACTGAGCTTCTTACGTTGAGTGGTTTGAGCATGATCGTGATTAATCAGTATGTCAGTCACTTAAGGATTTTATATATTGGTATAGATTTATTTATTCACAGTAACAATATAACACTCACAGTAGCAATATTTAAATTTAGGGCAGCAGCTACTCGCTACAAATCGAAATAACTTTGAAAGTGATATCATGTGCTTACTAATCAAACTTATTTCTCTGACAGCAGTCAAGGGTAATAAAGGACCTTTATTTTCACGTTCTCGTTTAAAATAGTTTATCAGGGAAGTACAAGCTCTTTGCTTCGACTGTTTATATGTTTCGGCATATTTTCGACACGATTTCAGGAAATGGAATACAAAAAATCGAAAATTTAATTCTTAAAAGAACTATTTGCGCTTAAAAGTGCAATTTTGAAAAAAAGACTATGAAAATCGAGAAAAAAACGAGAAAAAACGAGAATTACTCCCAAAGATTCAACAATAACACGATATTATACAAAATAATGACTGATATTATGATGATTGTCAAATAATAAGCGACAACGTTGCTGATCGTGGCGCAAAGTGTCCAACACAGCGATAATAAAAATCGCTTTAAACTAATTTTTGCGGCTTTAATCTAAATAATAAAATATCTGTAACAATCATTTGCTCTATGCAATGAAATCAAGAGCTGCTGGGTATCTTAAATTATACAACAAATTTAACCATTTTTGCCAAAATTTCATTTAGTCAGGTTTATAGGATTTAGTGTCAATTTTATATGATTGATGACGTGCATCAGAAAATGTTTGCGATTACCGTATGTATTGTTGTTTTAATAAATTTGCAAATGCTATTCACATTCACATGCTCTTCATATTAAAGTCAAACAATTATAATGATCAGTCCTTGTACATACCAATTTTCATTAAATACAGGTTTCTTTAGGTCTTTAGAGACCATTTTTATTTATGGTAATTCGGCTATTGAACAACACGAAGTTATAAATCAACGAGCTAAAAAGAGCACAGCGTTCTTTTTGGGTTTCTCAGAAACTCATCTTCAGCAGAGGAAAAAATCAAAGCAGGTTGGGTGATTCGGCAAAATAATTTCGCACAGTCATCTTTATCATCTTTTAAATTAAAAATCTAATTTTTTTTGTTGTGCTCGAAAAGCATTTCTAAATACTAGGTATACCCTGTTATTTTTATTATATTATTTTTAATTTACAATATAATATTTGTGTATTTATTTCAATATTTTTTTGTTGGATATATAATTATAGAAAATGCCTACGATGGATAATTATCTTATTATTCCCTATTAAATGCATGGGCATGGGTGATAGGAAGCCTTCCTTCAACTTCGCCTTTTGTCATTCTTATTTTTTTATGGATTACAATAAAGACTACATGTCCCCGAATTGTCTTTACAAAAGGAAACACTTTTTATTATTGACATTATGAGAAAAATGCATTCTTCATAAAAAATATTGGCTTCTTCTAAACTGGTTAATGCCGTTTATACTTCGTTTTCATTCTTTCATAGATTTTTATTGATAGAATTTTAATTAACGTTATATTCTTTTCTGCAGTGTAAAAGTAAAAGTGATTTGGTGTACTGTGTCGCTATATTTATTATATTTTGCTGTATGTATCGCTGTATAACACCAAAGATTCCAACCCCCAAATGTAAACTGTAATGTTATATTCTTTGCTGTTTAAAACTCTTAAAGAAGCACAAAATATATTTAGTTCTTCAATACTACGGAAAGGGTGGTAATAGTTATAGGAAAATGTGATACTTTACTAATAGCAAAAATATGACGCAGTATGATTGATAACCATCTACCCAAGAATGAAATCTAAATTATATTACCATCGCCTTCTGATTTTTTGGACTTCAATGAAATTCAACGATATTTTCATGTTTTTCTTTAATTTTCTCTAGAACGGTATGGAAATTTGGAAAAGTATAAACGGGATCAACCATTTTAGAACAAGCAAAATTTTTTTTATGAAGAATGCAATTTAATCAGAATGTCAATAATAAAAAAGTTTGTCCTCTTGTAAAAACAATCAGGCGACATACTGTATATTATTATTGTTATTTTCATTACATAGTTTGTATTTATGGAAGTTTTCATTAAAATAAATTTTACTTTCTATATATTCTATATTTTCTTATTGCTTAATAATCATCATTTTAAAATATCAATATTTTTGAGTGAAAATTGATATAATAATAATGCTCCCGTATATAGCGTTTAACGCCTTGGGTACAGCTTGCCATGCTAGAGCCGTTCGGTATACAAGGAGGGTAATGTCCACAAGTAATGTCGCTAGCACTACGTTTCAACCGTCTATTATTACCTCAGGATTGTGAATCCCAAGTACTCATTTAAGGCTGAGTCGACCTAGGTAACCAAACTATTTTTATTTTAATAAAAAATAGTCGGCTGATGAAATGCTGGCTGCAGGATTCGAACCCACACCTTCAGATTGGTAGACGAGTGCTGTACCTCTACGCCACAAGGCGGGGCGTGAAAATTGATACAAATCTAAAACATAGGAACAAAGTTTTATATTTATTTCATTATTTACTCAACTAGTTAGGTAACCAATTATACAACCGATTTTTAGAGTAATAATGAGTTGAAAACGTTAAAAATAAATATATTTTTTTTGTTTTGTTATTTGTGTAAGTATTTGTACGATTAATTAAAATCATTTATTTCTTTTAGATTTTTCTCATATGATACATATATATCTCTTATACAGAGTGTACATAAAACATCGTGAAAAATTTAGATGATAATTTTTTAAAAAATAATGTGAGCTTTCTCAATTTGGCGATTCCTTATAGTGTTATTTCCTTATTTAGCGTGAACAAAAATCACAACAAGCATCTCAATTACAATTTGAAAAAACACGTTTAGCAGAGAAAAAGAGTAAAGCTGTACGCACACTGGCGCGATCACGGCCGCGATCACGATCAGGGATTTAAGTGTACAAACACTTTATTGCTGCCCTGATCGTGATCGTGATCGCGGCCGTGATCGTACCAGTGTGCGTGTAGCTTAATTTTGTGTCAGTTTACCTGAATTGTATTTGACAATATTAACAGAGGCGTACTACTTTTTATATTTGATACCAATTAAACTTTTAGTTAGGTAACCGAATTTTGCGATTTATAAATTTATTGTTGCCAACCATGGACATATTCGGCGTCGGGCTGACTAACAGAAATTTAAATTTCCCGCTGGGATTCAGGTGGGAGTTCTGCTGTAAAAAAATTCAAGTTGCCACATTTAATTATTTATTTTCTGACATCGTCATTCGTTTTGACACTTTAGTTTTGTTAGTTATGAGTTTTTAGTCTCTGTTTTGGTTTAAATGACTTGTGTTGTTGTACTTTTAAGCTTAAATTTTTACTAGCAGACCTTGCAGTCGAACATTGTTCTTTTTAAAACCTCTTTTAGTGCGAAGTTTTTGATAGCTGTAAATATTCATCGCAACTTTATTAGAGTATTTTGAACTGGACAGCCGCAGTAACAGCCTCTTAAGTGCTGTTAAGAAGGTGATTTTGGTTGATGTAAATAATAACTGTTTTTATATATTTATAATTAATTTATTTTTGTTTCCTAAAATATATTGATTAAAAGAAAATTTGTAAAAGTGGGAAACGTTGTCCCGGTCAAGTTTAATCAGGTGATTAAAAATTTATATGATATGAACCATATGAACATAATGTAGAGTTTTAAGACCATACAAAGTGGTTCTAATGTATGTACCTTTTACTGAGTTATTCTTGTCATTGTTAATACTATAATACTACTTTCCACAAAATTGCAGGCAGCTATGTTCTGTATTTTGTGTATCTGTATTTAGCTTTTTTATTTTGAATATGCGTTTGTTACTTACCTTTTATTTTTTTCAGAGGATTGTAGGATAGGAAGGAGTAGAAATTCATAATTTTTCAAAATTAAAACAGGGAAAATAAAAACAGCAAATCAAAAAATTAAGTAATACAAAAAAATATATATATAATTTCTACTGGTGTTTTGGGAACAATTAAGTCGCAAATATTTTTGTTATATGGTTTGAAACTTGCACTTTTATTACAATTAAAAAAAAACTTACATAAACACATTATGTTCTATTCAAAAGCTAAAATTACAAAAATATTGTATACCCCTAATGTTTTTTATATAACAAAAATATTAACAAAAACTAGTAATTGCATTATATACCAACAGAAATAAAATATATAAACAAAAAATAATGTTAGCAACATCTACACTAAAATTTTTCACCAGTAGTAATAATTCTAATAAATTAAAAGGAAAATGTACAATTTTTTATCAAAGGTACATTAGAAATATGTTTTAAACATTTTTAAAGTTTTTTAATCGATTATTTAGGTATATAACAAAAAATAGTAGCGTAACCAATACCCACTGCCAACCCTGATTCTTTTTTACAAAATTTGGCTTTTCCACCATTCTATCTTTTGCTTCTCAAATAATTTTAATATTTATTTTAAAACAGATTCTTAAATGTAGCATTAAAATATGACAAAAATTTAATGAATCGTGAACGGACAACAAAATAGAAATACAACCTTACAAATGTCACAACGATCATGTCAAATACCATACGTTGAAAAATAAACAGCGCCACAGTAACCTTTGAAATTGCCTTCATGATAATTTATTTCAGGTGGAGCATAAGCTAAATAACAGTTGACAAAAAAATTACCAAAAAGCATTAATTTACAAATAAAAGAAAAAAAATTCAGATAAAAATATATTCCTTTGTATGTTGTTCTTGTTTTTGTCTTGTCTTATCTTTTGTTTTGTATATTCTACCAAATTTCTACCGAGATTAATTTAAATTATTGTTTATTTAAATGAAAAAATGTAAATATGAATGAATTTTCTTAGATTTTTCAAATTTTGAATGCATTTTGATTTTTGTAGTGATTTAGCTAAATAGATTACCATTTAAGGTAGATTTTATCTTTCCAATTAATTGTTTTGCTTTATAGTATTGTAAATTTTATTGTACATATTTATTTTAATAAAGGGTCATATAATAATTTTTTATTTTTTAATAATTAAATATTATTCTTTTATGTCTGTTTTGAATTAATGACATATAGGGGTCCTCTGACAGAAATTATCATTGTTCGCTGTTTGAAAGGCTACTCTGACAGTATTTTTTCCATTATACAGTAGTTATATTGATAATGTTAATTCTGTTGAATCATAAAGCAAAAAATAGCCTTACGGAAAGTTATTTCATGCATAGAACACAGCCATGGTATTAAATTTTTATTTCTCTAATCCACATGGTTTGTTAGATACAAAATAACCGGCAGCCAACGATGTCAACTTTAGTCAAAACGTCTTCGAATGTTTCTATTTAATTGTGATGTTACGATGAGAATATTATGATTGTGACCGATTCGTCTGTGTCGCAGTAATGTCTAACATTTTAACAGAAGTTGACACCTAATAAAGCAAATTTTAAATCTAACTTAACACTACAACTATGCTCGTAGCATTTCAAAAAGAAATTGCATAAACATAAAAAATGTATTGGATTGTATTGCACAGAAATAAAATGATTTACCGAAAATTGCAACTACGTCAAAACGTTACATCGCCAATAAATTGTAATTGTATTATTTTAAAAATTATAATTATTGGTGTCGTTTTATTATGGATTAATATGAAATGAATTCTGCTAGTGCTGGTCTGAGGATGCTCCGATGTTAAATTTTATTAAAATTAAGAACATGTACGTAGAAATAATTGTATAATATATATCCATCTCTTCATTCATTAATCTTAATTAATCCTAAATTACTTTTGAATATAAGTGTGCCAAATATTAAATTTTAAAATCTAAACTGGTATAGATTATTATAAATAGGCTGCAGTCTTTTTTACTTTATTTACTTTTTCACCCGAAGTGAAAAGATGTGCCAAAATCTTCGTACTTATATTAATATAAGCTTCCTACTCGACAATGTAGCATTATTATTTAATATTTTCTAAATTAAAATTTTACTAAAATATCGTTACTTTAATTAAAAGTTTTTTTTTGTGTTTATGTAATCTCCATACATAAGTTAATAATGTAAATTTCTAATAAGTCAAGTTTTCCACTTAATATCATATTTTTCAGTTCAGTTCGAATAAAAAGCTGAATTTAAGGTCGAAATCAGGTATAGTCTATTTCCATAAATACTCTATATCTAATTCATTATATTCTTTATACATATACTCTTTTAATATATTTTTTTTTATATAAAACCATGTGTCACCAAGAAAAACTTAACTAAAACTGAGCACCAGTGTCAAAAATAGTAAAAACTCATAAATTTATAAGCATACAGTCTTCTATATTGTATTGTATTTTTCATCTAAGACTAAAACTAAAGTGATTTTTATTTATAAATATGATAAATTCAGTATACGTTACTTTAACAATATGTATATATAATATAAACGCATTCTAAAGTCTAGATTTTAAAAACTAAAATAAATCTTTACTATTTCCGATCACGGCGACTTTACTACAAAGTGTAGAACTTTTAACGTGTATTAGCATTTAAAAAGGCAGACTATCAAAAATACGACCGTATCATGTATCACCTCATTGCTACTTTTAATGCTTTAAACAGCATTTAAAAGATTCATCATCAGACCACATATCAAAAATTATATAATTTGATAGTTAATATCCATGACAAAAAATCTTCAAATATTATATCCCTTTTAACATAATATATCTCTGTTTAATGATGCATACTATCAATAGCATACTATTTTAGTTGGAATTAAATAAAGTAGTTAGTTTAGTGGTTTCAAGATTACTAGACTAGTTGCTTATTATTATATTGCATGTAGTATTGCTCATTCTTATTGTAGTAAGTACATCGGGAATAGTATTATGGAAATATTGATTATTTTCATCTAGAAGAAGTTTAAAACAATCAGATTTTCTTCTAAGCAATGAAGTTTCAACCATGAATTTAACAAAAAATGTATATTAAAGTTTTTAATATAAAGTGTCTATATATCGATAAGTTATGTTCAAGGCTAAATTTTCTTTTGCATTAGTAGTTGCATGTTTGATAGCAATGAAGCGATATAGGATGGGACGCGTCCAAAAAACCGCAAAGAGACATATCAAGTCACTAATATCAGCACCTTATTTTTTTTTAATATAAACTCACTGTATATAATAACAGACAACAAACAAGAAGTTGTACTATGAAAATCAGGGCCTGGCTCTTCGTATCACAGTCTGTTGCGGTTTTTCAAACGATTACATCGAACAATCTGCTGATTCTCATAATCTTTATTTTCTCTTCTCATATTTCACAACAATAATATTTTCCATTTTTCACAATAACGAAATTATAATTTATTATGTATATTTAATTTTATGTATGTAAGGCCGATACATCAGTATGAAGGATCTGAAACAAAAAGAAATCAAGTTCAAGCAAAATATATTATCAAAACAGATACAGTATTTTTTGTGGATATCCTACTATTTCTTAAAACCTAATATATTAAGTTTTTAAGTTCAATTTTCTATTTTTGAGAACATTTTTACACAAACAATAATTTACAGAAAAGTGTTTGTATAAACTTTTTTGTATTTACCAAAAAAGAGAAACAAGAAAAGCATACTCTTCAAATCATCAGAATAAAATGGATCATGAAATTTTGTATTGGTTGAATTCTATTAGACCAGGCATACTATTGTAGAATTTTTTATTGGTCATAGCAAAATAGTTTTTGCTGCTTTTTAGTTTAGATGTGCGTCAAAAAAATAACTCTAAAAAACTTAGTTTAGCTTTAATGTCAACGTTTTGATCAATATATGATGTTTCTAAGAACTAAAGTTCTAAGCAATATAGTCCAGAGAAAAATCATATAATGGTCAAAAAGTTAACGCAGTTCTACTATGTATTTTTTCTGTTTTCCAAATTTTGTCACCATACGGCAATTTCTATTTTTTATTAATTTTTCGTATATCTTTACGTTAATATTTAATATTAAGGTGTAATAGAGGTGTATTCTTTAATATTGCTTAATCTAATATATGAATAACTATTTTCCCCAATACTTTGACTACTGCCATTTACATTACTTTAACATCCAATATTCTTAATCTCAATACGCACTTTTTAATGCAAAGTTTATTTTTTTATTTAAAACCGTTTTAAAAGTAACAACATATTTTTACAACGCTTAAAACGAACTCTCAATTTCTTATATGTATGGTCAACTTGAAGTATATCTCTGCGTCAATTATCGGAGAATAATAAAACCATATTGCTTTTGGGAAAAACTGTTAAAATAAATAAACTTTTCCATCAAAAGGTGAAAATCCGTGACTAAGAATATCGGAAATTGAGGGAAAATAAACAGTAGACATAATATTTGGAACATAGGAGTTAATATTTCAGATTAATATCTTAATGCACAACTATATATACAAAAGCTGATGAAAATATTCGAAATATTGACGAAAAGATAGAAATTATTGTATGGTGACAACATTTGACTAATCGGTAAGAAATTTGACAGAAAACAAATTATTGAAACGTTTCTCAAAATTTAAATCAATAAGGATACTTTGCTTGTAAAAAAAAACCGCGTTATTATGACATCTTAATTTTTCGCCATGGAAAAACTTACTTATTTCTATTAAAAAATCTATATAATGTATATTTTTCTGAACACGTGTAAAAAACAGTGTTATTAAACTGTAACTACGTAGCGGGGTATCTTATAACGTAGTAGTAACGTATAGAAATCAATAGGGATGTGTCCCTAATACTTACAGTAGCTACACAGGGCTGCCGCACGATCAGATTATATACGAGACTGTCGCAACGCATTCAACTGTCCACGCTAAACAACTCCTTGTGCAAAGCAGGGAAGTCCAGGTGGGGTGCAGATCTCTTTAATTTGCCTAAAGCGTCCATGTGAAGCATACTAATCTCCCTAAAATTCAAATTAAAGGATTAGCTATGTAAAAATGGAATAATGATCGTCAGTTATACAGGGTGAGTCTTAAATAAGTGCATTATTTTTAAGGCTAGTTTATTTTGATCCCACAAATACGTCTATGAGTTTTTTTTCGCGAAAAAATATTTTCGGATTTAAGTTTTTAGTTTTTTGATAATATGGCAACAATGGCTTTTGCAATTTTCAAGTAAAATAACTCGGCTATTTTGGACTTATTTGAAAAACGTTAAAGAGAAAATCTGTTTCTTTTATCGAGACGTAACACCCCTGAAAATATCTGCACTTATCCTGTATAACAAGCTACCAATTGAGCGAGTGTCTATATTGACTGTTACATACACATACCAGTGCATATCAATAGATTTTACATTCTTACTTTAGAACAACAACACGAGACGTGTGAAAATAATAATAAATTAGAAAAATAGACTTCAAATTTTTCATAATTCTTTAGTACATGATATACATGTTATACAACTCAATTAATATTTTACATTGAATTTATGTATAATTAATAATTTCGTGATAATTTTATCAAAATATTCATAGTTTGTAACAGAAAGTGTTTTTGTCTGTTAATAATAATTCTAATCGTAATTTGATAAATTATTTCTAACGAGATTAGAATTTAGAGAAATGAGTAGAATTTAGATTTTGAGAAACTTAGAGAATATAAGCTTACCTTAGATTAGGTATTTTAGTAAGCAAGGCATCACAAACTGTTACGTCGCCCTTTATTGGCATGGTGTGGTTCCTATCCAGCTCCAGTTTCAAGGCTCGTAGAACAGCCTGGCTCAGCCGTCCTATCTCCGCTATGCCTTTCAGTCCTGGCCGATCTAAGAATAACACATTTCCTGTTAATATAATATAATATATAGTTTTGTACATCATACTCAATAATTTACAAACGTAGCTTAAAGCAATATTCTATTTTAGAAAACACTACTAATTCTAGTGAGGATGCAGAGGCTAAAAAAACTACTTTTCAATTAGTCAAGCTTTCGAGAAATTTATTGTCAATTTTCAATTTGACAAATTGAAAAGTAGTTTTATTAGCCTATGTGGTGATTATTGACTGCATCCTCACTAGAATTAGTGTTTTTTTCTCAACTTAATCAGTCAGGACTAAACCTGCTGCTATTCTATTTAAAATAGATTAAATTGATGCAACTTAGCAACTATTTTAACTTGTAAGTAGTGATGTAAAATAACCGGTAATTTATAAATCGGTAATATTACGGTAACATTTGTAATTTATAAAAAACAGATGTCAGAGTGACCTATGTTAAGCCGGTCCCACACGATGTGAGAAACACCTTCCAACGTTGGACACATGAACATTTGCTACATCGTATTGGAGATACACTTGTCGATTGCAATATTGTCGAAACCTGTGCCAAATGTTGGTTACAACGTTGGAAACTTGTTTGAAACCAACATTGGACGCATCGTGTAGGACCGGCTTTATAGTACGTAATAGAGTAGATAATGGTAAATCATCCTCAATCTCGTCATCTAGTTCTTCTTTCTCTTTCGTTCAAGTCAAGTTTACTAGATACTTCGAAATCGATATCTTCTTCTTACACTTTTTTCTCAGCGGCTTCTACCATTCTTAGATGATTTTTTTTCAGAGGTCCTCTGGTTATATGGCCAAGGTATTCAAGTTTTCGTCGCGTGATAATATTCAGAAGTAGCCTATCGTGCTCCATTTTTCGAGGAACTTCTTCATTTCTGGTTCTGGTTGTCCAAGATATTCTAAGCATTCTTCTATATGTCCACATTTCAAATGCTTCGATTTTATTTATCGTTTCTTTATTAAGTGTCCACGTCTCACATCCATATAAAAGAATCGACCACACATAAATTACACTTTGTAAACTTCTCCCGTAATTTGATGTTTAGTAAACTACTTTAATGAATCTGGAACTTGTTCTATACGAGCGTATATATCTATACGAGATCATGTTCTATAATTACGAGCGATATAAGTAAATTTTCCGACCTTTTCCACGGTGAGTCTGTTTTTTCTTGGTCGATGAACAAATCCATAAGTACTAACAGGTCTTTCGGTTGCGGCTGTTGACGATGCGATGGTAAATTTAAAATATCGACAGGCAACATACTTATTTTAGAGCAGGCTACACGAAAAAGAGTGAGCGGAAAGATGCAATATTTCCAATGTGTGCCAAACCAAACCAAACCGATCATGCAGTAATATTACGTAATATTACCAAAAATACCGGTAATATTACAATTTACATCACTACTTGTAAGCAAGTTACTTTTGGAATTACAGCTACGGTTTAGTGGCTAAACACTAGAGTTTTAGGCGTTAATTAACATTGCATCTTTGTTATAACTTTAGAAGGAATTAAATGTACTAGCTGAATCAATTACTAATATCTTACCTGGTGATAGTAGCACGCAAGCCGAATACAGGGCCAGTTCGGTTTCGGTGAGTTTGAGCTCGGCCAATCCCTTCGCAACCTCGAACACGCACGAGACCAGTTTCATTTCCGCCGTGTCAGAAGTGAAGAAGGCATCTTGAGGGAGCATGGTGTCGCCGTAGAGGACGCAGTTCTGCGACAGGTCCAAGTAGCGGGACATCCGAATGATGGCCAATTCGAAGCTTCCTGAAAACAGATTTAAATCATTTGTTGACCTTTGAATAAGGATAATTTGTTATTAGTATATTATGTTCCAATGCGTGTAACCTGCTTTTTGTTTTTATGTGAATAATGAGTTATGGAATATTTGTATCATAACTAAGGATCACAAAAGCAACAGAATCAGGTAAGTAATACAATTTCTTCAAAGTTGTTGATAGAAACGTTTGAAAATCTCATCAACAACTTCCATTGCAAAAATAAAGATAATAAGATAGATTGGGAATACCTGAAAAATATTTCGTTGATGACACTGTGGTAATAAAGGTTCCAAAGGACTACAAGAACTAGTATGACTAAAAATGAGTCTAAATACAATGACATTCAAATGATAAACATTCAAAATATTATTTACACTCAACGATATAATACTGGAAATAAAAGATGAATACATATACTTTGAAGATGATATACAAAGAATTGTGTGGGGTGATACGAAGGGGTCACAATTTGCGTAAAATAACAGAAATATAAAATTGACAAAAAAATGCATGAAATTATGCAACTCTACTTTCAAAATATGCTTGAGCATAATTTGACACTATTTTATATTTCTCAATTACAGAAATCTTTCGTATCTCTCACTCGATTCTTCTCTCATTTCTCTTGCTTCTACTCACTCTACAGCTTCTTTAACTTTTTGTTTGGTGCCAATGTTAAAATAATTTTCGCTGTCATCATATTCTGACGACAACAAAAAAATCCGCTGTTACAGAAATTCGAAGGGACGAAAAATTCAAAATTGACTGAAGCAATTTATATTTTACTAGTTTCTATGATGTATGTACACCAAAACAAAAAATGAAAAAAAAATTTACTCCATATTTTTTTTTATTATTATACCAAGTGCTTCTCAAGAGTGGATCACCCGTATAACTTCTTTATTCCAGATAAAATAACTATATTTGGTATGTTAGTATATAACATAATTAGGATTGATTGACGTATTCAATTGTTTTTCGTCGCTTCCTGTTTCAACGGAAATGAACTTTTGATTATTAAATGGCACCCTCAGTATTTTTTACCTTTTTCGATAGAAAATGACACTCTGAATAAGAATGACATATCATATATCAAATTTTGACATTCTCGCTTAAAAAAATCGTACTTTAGATTTCAATCTAGAGCGCCATGGCTGTGTTAAAAACACTAATTTTTAATTCAGGAGCCTTGAAAAAATATATTTCATCGTCTAATGTTTTTCGTGTCTTGTCCTGGCTGGTTAAATGATGCCCAAATCGTATTTTTAATCATATCTCAATTTTTTCAAATGGAACGAGGATGGCTCATTAGCATATTTGGAAAAAGGTGTTTTTTTTAAGAATAATTTGGTACCACACACTTGATATTTTGAATCAAATCATCGTCAAAAGTTGACATATGAATGTCATTCTATTCAGAGTGTCATTTTCTATCGAATAAACTAAAAAAATACTGAGCGTGCCATTTAAGAACCAAAGTTGTAGTTATTTCCGGTGAAACAGGAAGTGGCCGAAAACCATTTGAATACGTCAATCAATCCTAATTTATGTCATATACCGTATGATCGAAAATGAAGATCTTTGTCATTTTATATGTAATCGATAATGTCAATGTCAAATATATGTAATCGGAATGTCATGGATATTCATTTCCAAGCCAACTGGACGCCGTTTTTTCAATCATACGGTACTAACATCAAGATTTTTTTTTCTGAAAAAATTAAAGTTATAGGGGTGAGCCACTTTTGAGACGCACCCGGTTTACTTTTATTCTACTAATATTCTGAACTATAAATTACTCACCTGCTTTCAGCAAAACGATTTGATCGTCTTGGCTCAGCTTCATGAATCCAGGCACCATTTTCGCGAACTCGATTATTTGCTGTATGACAGTGGTGAGTTTTTGGGCGCACTCTAGCCACAGCTCCTCGTGCGCCATGTTCTTGTAGTACAGCAGCCTGGACAGGTCGTGCGGCTTCCGGAACATCTCGTGAATGTTCTCGATCGAGTAGAGGCAGGTGCGCGTGTGTGCGTCCGATATTGTTTTGGAGAGGAGTTCCGATATTTGGCTGGGATCTAGAAAAATTGCTAAGTTGAATCTTCAACTTCAAATTAAATCTGAGCGAAAGCAATAAAATTCTTATATTTTCACCTGAACATAATTACTTTCTCAGCGCATATTATGATGATTAAAAAAACTCAAATTTTTAAGTTTGTATGTGTATTATTATACTTTATATATTGGACTTTATTTTTAAAGAAATGTTTTAGATATGATTTAGTACATGTTTATGATTTACAAAAAAATACATTTTTTACTATTACTTATTACTATTCTATTGAAATAGTTCACTTCATATTAAAGAATATTTTTGAACTACCTAGTATTTAATGGAAAATATTAGTAATGGGTTATTGCACATGTTATTGTTTAATATCTTCATGCAAAAAATACTTTTCGCACAAGATTTTATAGCAGGTAGAGAACATTACACTTAACAATACAAATTTTACTTTAATATTTAGTGTGAGCTTCACTAAGTAACTAACATTACTATTAAACTAGTTCTACTAATAATAATCTATTTTTATAACTCTAATACTACTGGCTACGAGGGTTATCTTTTATACTTTGCATACAGAGAAAAACAGTAGGTTACTGTGATTACTTATTTACCAAACCAAACCAAAACACTATTGAATTTCGGAGCATCATCAACGAGGAGCTTCTTTCCTCCACGCATTTCTGCATCCGTTGGAACCAATTTTGAAAGCAGTTATCACTTGATTTTTGAAGGCGCTGACTGCATCTTCTGGAACCTTTGACCGCATAGTTCATTCATAATTTATGAAAAAGGGAAGTAGTCGTTCGGACTCAACTTTTTTATTTTTCCAGATAAAACAGACGATTTTTTCAGATTTTCAGACGTGCTCAATTGTTTTCGGTAACTTCCTGTTTCACCGGAAATGACTACAACTTTTGATTTTTACATGGCACCCTTATTCGATAGAAAGTGACATTCTGAATAGAATGACATATCATATGTCAACTTTTGACATTCTCACTTAAAAAAAAAGTATTTTAAATTTCAAAATAGAGTGTCATGTCTATTTTAAAAACGCTAATGTTTAATCAAGAAGCCTTGGAAAAATAGACTGATCGTCTAATGTTTTTAGTATCTTGTCCTGGCCGGTTAAAAGATGCCCAAATCGTATTTTTAATCATATCACAATTTTTTCAAATGGAACGAGGGTGGCCCATTAGTATATTTAGAAAAAGCATTTTTTACAAATAATTTGATGCCACATACTTGGTTGTGATGCCACATACTTGGTTTCAAATTGTTATTTTCTATCGAACGAAGTGAAAAAATACAATAAGGGCCATTTAAAAATCAAAAGTTATAATCATTTCCGTTGAAACAGGAAGTGACCAAAAATAATGGAATACGTCAATCAATCCTAATTTAGGTCATATACTAACATACCAAATCTGTTTTTTTTTTATCTGAAAAAATAAAAAAGTTATAGGAGACCACTTTTGAGTCGCACCCGGTATATTCAAAATATAAAAGACAACCCTCGTACATAGAGCAAGTTACTTAACAACTAGTTCATGCAATCTAAACAGGCAAAAAAACAAGAAGTGGTTGCAAATATGTTTGGCTTAGTTTTTCCTAATTTTCTTCAGATAATAATAAGCTAAAATGAAGCAATAAGCTGACATTTCGAGAAACTCTCGCAATACAGTGCAGGATGTCACTACATACATAGACGAATATAATTCATCGACAAAATAGCTCAAGTTATACATACAATAGTTAATATTTTTATTTTTTAAAGACAATCCTAACATTACTGTGCCTGAGATGAAGAAAAAAACTTCTAATATTATAAAGAATACGAGTAGATACTCATATGCTCAGATATTTAGAGAAACAGCAACATTTGCTACTGTTTGTGTTCTAAAACACATCTAAATATTATACATCTACGAAACCATTAATGAAATCTATACAAAATTCAAAAGATTATGCTACGGTAATCGCAAAACAATTTCCGATGTACGTGATCAACTTTAAGTGACAAGCGATGGCGACAGCGCTGCCAGATAGTGACGGATTCATGGGATGAATCTTAATATAATATATATAAGATTTTTACGTTTTATTTTTAATTTAATAATTAATATTTTAGTAATTAATTGACTCATTTGTTTTATAGCTTATTTTGCTTCTTACATATTGGCGAAAACTAGACCATTATGAAGATTATTCTAACCGTTATTATGGGGTTATATTTATTTATTTATTGATGTACAACTTACAACACAAGTGGTAATAACAAGTAAGAGGATGCCATTATTGCACAAACCAATAATCACAGAATTTACTAAAAACTAACGTAGAAATGACTTTGAAAGTGGTATAATGTGATTACCAATCAAACTTACTTTTCTGACTGCAATCATGCATAATAAAGCACCTTTATTGTCACGTTCTCGTTCAAAATAGTTTATCAGGGAAGCTACAAACTCTTTGCTTGAACTTTTTTAATGCTTTGGCATATTTTCAACACACGTCATAATTTCAAGAAAGGCAATACAAAACTCGAAAATTTAGTTCTTAAAAGAACTGTGTTTACAAGTACGATTTAAAAAAAAACTATAAAAATAGGCAAAAACAAGAATTACTCTCAAAGATTCAACAACAACACGATATTATACAAAATAATGACTGACATTATGATAATTGTTAAATAATAAACGACAATGTTGCTGAACAAGGCGCAACATAGCGATAATAAAATTCGGTTTAAACTATTTTTTGCAGCTTTAATTTCAATAAAATATCTTTTACAATCATTTGTTTTATAAAGTAAAATGAAGAGCTGCTCAGTAAAGGCGCGTGGTCATCGTGAAACAAGAAGAAGAAGAAGAAGAAGAAACTGCTCAGTAACATTTATGCCAAAATTTTATTCAGTCAGGTTTTTAGACTTTAGTGTCAATTTCGATATGATTGATGACGTGCATTGGGAAATGTTTGGCGATTACCGTACAAGTCATGGTATATGGCTGTCATACATATGCTTTTGTCACTGTATATTTGTTTTACATACAAAGAAGTAACATTATAATCGAGCTATCTTGTTGATGCGTCACCGCGCTGCGCACTCCCCACTTACTAGGCAACACTACAGGCTCGCATTCATCCCCACCACCACCGCCATTTCCGGCAACCGAGTGTTGTTGCGACCCTTGTCTGGTCGACGACGACGACGTTCCCTGACCTGACATCGGCGAACTAACGAACGTCGTGCTGTCTACGTAGCTAGGCACCTGGAGAGCGTCTACGGCCGTATTCTCTTGTTTCACGGAGATCACCTGGTATAGTGGATAGATATGTCCGTTTAAGGTTGGATCGAAGAAGTATGAGAGGAGGAATTGGGAAAGGTGCTAGATATTGAGTTTTAATATTTAGACGTAATAATAATACAACTGGAGCTGGAACTTAGATGTTAAAACAATTTTTTAATCTATGGGGACGTGTTTTGTCACCATTGTTGTAGCATCATTAGAAAATTATTAGAACTATGAGAATTTTTAATTAATTGCTTATAAATGCTACTAATATAGTTAGAGAAACGTATGTTCAGAGTATAAAATATAATGTTTTTGTGTGTTAGGAAACTAATAGTTTTAATTTGCTTCACTGTTTAGCATATTTGATAAATCAGTTCTTAGAGTCACATCAGCTATTTAAATTAAACAATAATATTTTTAAAAATGTTTCAAAAATCACTTATTAAATATGCAAGTATAATATTTAAAAATGTTATCTCTATTTTCTTAATAAATATAATAATCAACAAAATATACTAAATAGGAGTATATTCTATTTTTTAAATATTGAAGAGAAGTTTATAATTATGTTAATATATTGTAATTTGTTATAATAAATTCTAACAAACTATCTCTGTAAATATGTAAAAAATATTTAAATAAAAGAGTATCATACTAACGTAAATTATGCACCAGTACCATATGATCGAAAAAAAAACGGCGTCAGCGATGGCTATGAAATGAAGATCGCTGTCATTTTTTATGTCAATTTATATTCGAAATGTCATTGATTGTCATTTCCCCGCCAACTGGACGCTGTTTTTTTTTCGATCATACGGTACTTTTAACTCGTAATTAATAAATATTATTTAATCGTAGAGGAAACTCATTCTCATACTTATTGTCTCATTCACAATAATTTTTAGATAAAAAAGGACTACATACAAATTTTATTCATCTTATATTTTATTTCGGTTATAACTTGTTGAATACTTTTAAAACTTTGATTCACTTATATAGTATTGCTTAAATACTGAATGACTTAAATAGTTTGAATTGTTATTAATCATCTCAACATAAAACAAACACCAATAAATTTAAATCGATGTTAGTCTACATACAACCGTATTATACAAATTACCGAATAGACCAATTCTAAAATATAGAGAGATAGAGACCCTATCGACAAATTAACATTTTTAAATTATGTGTCATGATTGTTGTATATTGTATGAAAATATTCATATATTACTGATGAAAGATTTATCATATGCCAATAAACAGCACATATTTATATTATTTTAGCTAATTAACAAGTATTTAGAATATTAAAACTCAATATAAAATTGTTTTAGTAGTATCACAATAATAAAATGCAAATTTGAAGTCAAATTTAAACTGAGTTATCTAGGCGTCTAGAATTTTTTAATCTAGATTAAAGGTTGAGATTAAATGCATTTTTTCTCTTTTAAAATTTCCGTACTAAAAAGAGGAATTTAAAATTAGTACTTTGTAGTGTTTGTATAGCTGCTACTTAACGAAAAGATTATGATAACTTTTGATCTTTAAAAAATTTCAATATTATTTTATTTTATCTTTTATAATAAGAGAGTTTAAGAGATTTTATTTGATTTAAGATAAATGATGTGATTGAACCACTGATTGTAAATGATTTATGACCTATAGCAATTATATTTATTAATACTGTTTTTAATAATATTGTTTTATTATTATATATTTGAAATATGATAAAGCAGTTATGAATAATATGTATGGCTAAGCAATGTGTTTAAAAAAAGACAAAGACCATAATATCAAGTCACTGAAATATATATTTTCAAGTCTGGTTCACTGGTTTAAAGAAATTATTGTATAACTTGAACCCGACAGATATGTATATCAACTATAAAACACCCTGTACACTATACCCTAAATGTTTCCCGAAATATTTCTGGAAATACTTCGTAAACATGTCGCGAAGCATTTCTTAAAATATTTTCAGAAGTAAACCCAATGCTTTTCATGTTGTGGCTTGTCTCGTCTGCAAACTCCGAAACAGATCGAAATCGACCGAGACAAGCCGTAATTGGTTGTTGGTTTTTTATTGTTATTGAAATTGTCTCGGGAAATGTTTCGAGTAACGTTTCGATCAGTTTCGACAAAATGTTTACAACACGCGCTTATATTCTTTTGTGGTAGCTTCAGAAAAATAAGTAAACATAGAGTATGAATAAATATCATTAGTTTATAGTGAACTGTAATGTAATACTACGATATTAAACTCAAAAAAAATAAAAACGGTGCATTTAAGAAACAATTATCGATGGTAGATTAAATTAGCTATTCCTTTAATGTTACACAAGAATATTTAGTTTTAATCATTGTCTAGTATTATTAATTACAATATAGTAAAAAATATATTTCCAAAACATAAAATCGTAAAACTGAAAGGCAACAGTGACTAACTGTTCTGGCGGTCCGCCTCTTATAGGTTACAATACACGGTTTTAAACTAATTAACAAATCGTCTAATTATTTCTTATTTTTGAATGGATTTATATCAAACTATGTTGTGTGCTAACAAAAGTATCGTTTACAGTTTTCTCTTAAAAACAATAAAAGAACATTGCTTTTTAAAGATGTTTGTGGGCCATACTTTTATTGACATTGGGTCAATTAAGAATTATTTTTCCAATCAGCTCGATATATTTTGTTGATGTTACCAGTATTGCAATTCTACTGTTTTATTTATCAATTAAGGCCATAAACAATGATAACATACAATTTTATATGCTAATTCATTATAATAAAATTAAATAATAAAAATATTGTAATTATATACCTGCAGATTAAGTGAAAAGTTTTGTTCTTAAATATCTATTATACAATATTATAAACGCATGTTCAAATATTAATTTTGTGGAATCTATATCAACATAAAACGAGATGTAATTAACGAAATATCGTAACAGATCTTATAGAAACGTCTAGGTTTACTTATTTCACTGAGATTTATGAAAAAAGATCTTTGTCTCGGGTATAGATACCGATATGTTATGGAAGTAGCAAACGAACGTTGAACAAGACAGCAGGAAACCTCAAAAAAAATTCAAGCCCTTCTCCATAATTTCACGAGTAGTTTCGAGGCGTTTTTAAGAAATAAAAGTAGATCAAAACAAACGGAAATAAGCCGAGATGCGACAAAACACGACCTTGACCTGCTTCGAACTGTTTTCCGAATAGTGTAGAGGGTGTATAATATATTTAATCTAGAAACTTAACTTAAAAAAAGTCTAAACTTAAAAAAAGTAGTTACCCATAAAGATGTTTTTAATTAAACATTAAGATTTAAGCAAATTTGCATTTTATTTCAATTGTGATCTACCAAGGGGAAGAAAGCAGAGAATATAGTACTCTTTCCACAATACTGACCGTGGTGCCACCAGACAAGTTCGTAGAGGACGCCGTTTGCGCTATACGTTTAAAGGTGCGAGATTCGGGCGACAAGGAGAGGCTGGTGGATTTCTGTGTACCTCCCCCACCTCCACCGCCGCCACCGCCACCGGTACTCGTGTTAGTGCCTGAGATGTTTAGTTATTAGGTACAGTAACAACTACGAGCAAAGCACTCTTACTTAATCTAAACTGTATTAGTAAAATAAAGTTATTATACATGAAAGATTTGAACTGAAAATAGTATTAATGAATTGATTGTATATAATTTCGGTAGGCAATGAGATTGTTTTCATCTTTAACTTAAGCCATTGAAAACTCTATATAATTTTTTAAAATTCCATACTATTTGGTTTAAATAACAAATTCTAGCCTAACATAACAGTATATATTATGAGACGCATTTTACCTAATTTTATTCAGTCAAGTTTTTTTAACTAAGTAAATAGTTAAGTAGATAAAGTTTTTTTTTAATTAAAAGTAACAATTATTAGTAAGTAATAAAGTAATATAACTTAATAAATAATCATAAATATTATGATAAACAATAATTATTATCACTCCTTATTTTTCTTGTATAAGTTTTTCGCCACTGGAAGAGAAGTCTACAAAAAAAATATATATTTTTTGACACTAATGCGTAAAATCCAAACAGAAAATAGACAGTGGCTTTTTACTAATAAATTACTCGTAATATAAAAAAACAAAAAAAAAGATAATTCTTTTTGTTTTTTCTGTTTCCGACGAAGGGAGGAGATACCGTTAATTTGTTTTATTAGTAAAAAAGCACTGACAAGGTGGTTTTCGTTAGGTTAAACTCAGTGGTGTTTACAAAAAATAATATTTTTATTTTGCAGATTTGTCTTCCAGTGGCGAAAAAACAGCCTTCTTCAACAAATGAACTAGCCACAAAGGCGTATTATTATACAGAGTGAATCTTAAATAAGTGCAAATATTTTCAGGGCTGGTAGATCTCGATAAAAGAAACATATTTTCTCTTTATCGTTTTTCAGATAAGTCCAAAATAATCGAGTTATTTAAGTTTGAAAATTAAAAAAAAAATGACATTTTTCTGAAAAAATTTTGAGAGCCACCGGATTTTTTCTGTAATTGCATCCCTTTTAGTGCCGTAACCATAGAGTAAAGCCGTAACTATGGTAATATCAGAGATTAAGAAATTATACCGTGGGAAAATTTGCGGTAAACAGTTATAAAAAGTTTTCGAAAAATATACAGGGAAATTTAAAAGAAAATGCACAATTTCCAACATCTTTTTTTTGCGAAAAAACCTCATAGACGTGTTCCTGGGGTCGAAATATACCAGCCATGAAAATATTTGCACTTATTTAAGACTCACCCTGTATATTCATTAAAATGTAATTATTGAAATATGAAAGATAATAAATGTAATTTTAAACGCTGACTAAATGTGTTCCATATACATTATATTACTTGTTTAATAAAATGTATAAAAACGATTGTGTTTATAGTAAAAATTTATTTGAACACAGCTGTCATACTTTCCTTTATAAATTTGAATTTAAAATTAATATATTTTAATAATTTTGTTTGAAATAAAAATAAATCTAAAAATGGCAACTAAAATACATAGATGTATCAGACTTCAATGGATTATGAAAAAATACTCTATATGCACATTTTGTGAGAAAAAGCAATTCGCCATTATTTTATTTTGATAATAAGTAATAATATGGAAATAAACGAAGAACTTACCGGTGGTAACCACGTTAGCCATGAGACTCCCCGTGTCGCTGAGCGCGTCCAACCCCGGTCTGGGGTCGTACGCCGTCGTGCTGTCGACGTAATCCGCCGAAATGTCGTACCCCATCGTAGTCGCCGGCACCTGGGTCTGACCTGGGTAGTACGCAGGAGTATACGTTCCTACGTCGTTGTATGTTGGGTACCTAAAATGCAATTTAATATATTATTACGTTTAATAATAATAATGAAAAATAGTTTTTCATATATCATCTCAGTCTTGGATCGCTGGTGAAATCGTTAGAAATCTGGATGGCTGATCTAAACACAGAAAACATGGGAAAGAAAATTTAATTTCCTTCCTATTTTATTCCAGTGAAAATTTCACACCAGTATTTTTTAACCAATCAAAATGGTTTATTTCGAAAGGCCACCATGACAACGCATGTATCTTATCGGACATTTTTGTGTGGTGGATAAGCATCTGGAATTGCAAATTATAGTAGACATTTTTTTTACATAATAACAGAACACCCTGTATATTATTTTTTTTATTTTATTTGTCACTATGAGCTTTCTAAAAATATACTATACTCTATAATTATTAAGAAAGGATTATTTAACTCAAACAACATTAACAACATAAATCACACCAGTTTAAAAGAGTATTATTATTTAATTTAATTTAATAATTTTGCTTCGCATGGTGGTTATCTTAATAAATTGCACTGAAAATGGATTTCTGCAGCTTTTAGATAACACGCTATCAGAATTATTGATATTTTTGATGCACTTGTGCAATAATTCTACATAGAAAAACTAACGTGGAATGGCCAACAACCCAAATATGACGTCAAATAAATTTTTGATTGTTTTGATTACCTAATTTAAATAGGCTGCCTGTGTTAAAAAGCTAAATAATGCATTTTTTTACCTTGTTTATGAAAATAAGTATAGATATGGGACTCTTCGACTCGGAATAATTTTCAAAATATTCAAGATCTCAAAAATTTTCAGAAAATAATTTAATTTCCTCTGTGGTATTACTAGAGAAACTTTTTAAAGAACTTTTTTTAGAGAAACTTTTTAAAGAATTCCATAGTTATGGAAAATAAAATATTATCGATTTAACCAAAAATATAATGCGGTCCTGGTCAAACAAACGTTTATGTCGCATCATGTAAAATATCATATCATGGTCTTCTTTTTCTACAGATATCAAAAACGCCGTAAATGATATTTTGTATCAAAAGTTTCGAAAAGTTTCATCACACCATCATAAAAAATTAACATTTAATTAAGGTTCATAAATTTCGAGTTTTTGTTCATAATTAAAAAATAAATTTGTAGAAACTATTAAAAATTAATAATTTGCTTCATTTAATACAACTTTTCCCGTAAAATAAAATGGCAAACTTTTATTTATAAGACATTTATTTAAAAAAAGATAAAAAGAAGACCTTCAGCATTTCTCCTCAACGATTTCTAAGGTATGGAATTTAGACCAGTGAATACAAATGAATGAGAGATTTTATGTAAAATATTTTCAGAAATTTTCTGGCAAACATCAAAACTACGTGTCATAAAAATATAAAAACGAATATAAGAACATTTTCATATGCAAATCGGTTTATTTTTCTTGACAATATGACGGCGAATTTTATGTTATATTGGAACAAATATTACCGATCCAAAAATCTAAACAAACCAAATTACTCATTTTGATACGATTAACACATACGTTATTTAAGTGGTTTACATATATATTTATTAAAGACAATAGCAAATCATCATGAGTATTTGCCTAGTTCGGCCTCATAAACAAAAATGAGCAAAGGTCGAAAATTTATAATTAGCAGAAAGAAAATAGAATAGAAAATCAATCAGTAACTTTTTAAAATTTTATTCTAAATATATTCTTATTATTCTCGAGAAAAATGAGAATTTTCAGAATAAAAAGGTTAAATAAGTGGATCCTTAGAACACGTTATCCTTCTTTCTGTGCATATACAGGCTAGTCCGAATTGTATTCGGAAAATTTCGGCAGTATATTCTGCAGATGAAAATAAGTAAATAAGTTCGTATAAATTTATGCCTTAAAGTGCTTCGTTTCAGAGATAACGGGGTGTAGAAGTTTCCTTTTTATTTCGATGATTTTCACATAATTTCTGAACTATAGTCGATATTTGGAGGCAAATTATGTCGGGGTGGTGTTTTTTGACATGAGAAATTGATTTCGATGTCAATATGACTCCTAACTATAGGGGGCGCCACCTGCATGTTTTTCAACTGTTTTGAAGAGTAATAACTTTTTGTCCCTACCTATATAAAACTATTGAGTGATAAATATGCATTTCTTCCATTTTCAACGTAAAAAAGTCTTTTAGTAGAAATCGCTCCAAGTAACCGTTCTCAAGATATATGGAACGGAAATAGTCAATATACAGGGTAGTCCGAACTGTATTCCGGAAACTTCAGCAGCATATTCTGTAGATAAAAATAAGTAAAACAGTTAAAAAAGTTCGTATAAATGTATGTCCCTTAGTTTCGGAGATACAGGGTGTAGAAGTTTCATTTTTATTTCGATTTTTTCCAAATAATTTCTGAAGTAACGTCAATGTTTGGATGAAAATTGGTGTCTGGGAGTTTCTTAACATGAGATATTTGATTTTGATGTCAATATGACTCCTAATTGTAAAGCGCCTCCTACAGGTTTTTTAACTAGTTTGAAGAGTGATAACTTTTCTTCCGTACCTGTATAAAATTACGAACGTATTCTATGTAAAAAACGTCTCTTGGCCAAAATCGTTACGAGTTCTCGAGATATTCAGAATCGAAGTTATCAATACCTGTCATCATTGAAATAAATTAAACATGTTAACTAAATAGTTATTAGACTGAAATCATAAATTTTAAAGATTTTTGTGCCAAAAGTTCAACAGAAACTATTTTAACATCATTTTTTCGAAGAAAAATTTATGATTAATTTAAAAAAAATAAAAAGTTACCAAATTTATAATTTCAGTCAAATAACTATCTACTCAACATGTTTATTTTTAGTCAATAATGACATATATTGACTATTTCCATTCTAAATATCTTGAGAACGCTTGCTCGTAGCGATTTTTACCAAGATACATTTTTTACGTAAAAAATCACGGTAATGTATATTTCTTCACTTAGTAGTTTTATAAAGGTACGGACGAAAAGTTATTACTCTTCAAAGCAGTTAAAACACATGTAGGTGGCGCCCCCTATAAATAGGAGTCATATTGACATCAAAATCAAATTTCTCATGTCAAAAAACTCCCAGACATCAATTTTCATCCAAATATTGACGTTATTTCAGATATTATTTGGAAAAAATCGAAATAAAAATGAATTTTCTACACCCTGTATCTCCGTAACTAAGCATTTTAGGACATACATTTATATGAACTTTTTTACTTATTTTTATCAGCAGAATATGTTGTCGAAGTTTCTGGAATACAGTTCGGAAAAAATAAACATGTTGACTAGGTTAGTTTTTTGACTGAAATGGTAAATTTGGCCACTTTTCATTTTTTTAAATTAATCATAATTTTTTTAGAACAAACAATGATAAAACAGTTTTTGCTGAACATTTGGCACAAAAACATTTCAAATTTATTATTTCAGTCTAATAACTATTAAGTTACTACGTGTTTAATTTTTGTCAATGATTACATGTATTGACTATTTCGAATCCGAATAGCTTGAGAACTATTACTCCTAGCGGTTCTTACCCAGAACTTTTTTACTTATAATACCTTGAAAATGTATATTTTTGACTCAGTAGTTTTATACAGGTGCGGACGAAAAGTTATTACTCTGCAAAACAGTGAAAAAATAGGAAGATAGCGCCTCCTACAAGTGGGAGACATCAAAATTAAATTTATCATGTCGAAAAACACCCAGACACCAATTTTCATTCAAATATATAATTATTTCAGAAATTATGTTGAAAAAATCGAAATAAAAATTAAAAGTCTAGACTATGTAGTATTACTCTGTGTATTACAACAATGACGAGAGATGACGTAGGCTTTGTACATAGCATTGCATTACAAGAAGAAGAAAAATACTCTACTCACCCTCCATTGTAGCTGTGATGCAACTGATCACTGCTGGAAGGCGTCTGCTGCTCAAAGACCGAACTGTCTGGTGCAGAATCGTTCTGAGCTCTGAGCTGCGCCCTGTGGAACCGAACTTCGTCCTCTACCTTCTCCCTTTGCTTTTTCGACATTCGGCCAAATTTGACAGCTGTAAAAGAACAAAAATAACGTTAGATTTCTTTTATAATAATTATTTTAAATGATAATGTACTCTACCTTCCACCTAGTCTTAATAATGGATTAGGAAAATGATTGTGATGCAGTGATATGCATGGGAGATATTTTTTTACAGTTGGGGAACTGTGTGACTGTGATCTTCTAGAAAAATATATGACTTTGTTTAGCAAGTTAGCTTTGTTAATAAGCTGTCTATTGATAATATTTTCCTAAATGTATATGTAATTACCATACTGTAAGGGTGTTCAAAATTCTACGTCAACTCTCTAAAATATAAAATAATTTTTCTTTGTTTTTTTTTAAATGGAACACCGTGTATATTATTTTTTCAATAGAGGGAGAATTAAAAAATGAAGATTTTTTGTATTTAGAGTAGGTATTTAAAAAATTTTATTGGTTAGAGATACAGGCAGTATTATTTCATATGGCTTTTTCAACTTTCAACGGTAAAATATGAGAGAAAAATCATTGGCTGGCTTTGATAAAAATTTAATGTGAAAAATGCCATATGAAATATAAAACCGCGAATATCTGCGAAACCGTTAAAAATTTTGAAATACTCTAAATACAAAAAATGTTCACTTTTTAATTCTCCTTCTATTGAAAAAATAATATACACATTGTTCCACTTAAAAAAATGAAGAAGCATTATTTTATATTTTAAAAAGTTGGGCGTAGAATTTTGAACACCCTGTATGATTTACGATTACCATATTTATGGCAAAGTAAGTACAGACCATCTAGAGTAAATACCTAATATAGTTTTGATTCCAGGACAGTTCTTGTATTTTTAATAATTTTTTTAAGAAAGGCTGGAAAATATATATTTTTTATTTATTTATAAATATCTCTGAAACTACCGAAATTTATTTACTGATATCTTAGGATTATGTAAAGTGATCTGAAAAGAAACCAAAAATGCAATAATATACAGGGTGTTCCATTAAAAAAAATCATCCCCATCCACTCATACTTTTTTGAGCTACCCTATAGAAGTTATAAATATTTTCCTGAAATCCCAGTACATCCTTTAGGTTTCCATCACTTAAACAAAATTCCCAAGTTTTTTATTCTAGGAGCTACAGATGCTCGACGCACTATTACCGGGCCCTGAGTAATAGAGTTTTTAGTGAAATTTTAATATGTATTACTAAAAAGGCCAGTGGGTGTAAAATGTAATAGCGATTGATATAAATTATATCTCTTTGTAATGTTAAGTACCGTATGATCGAAAATAACGGCTTCAGGTTGGCTTGGAAATGACAATCCATGACAGTAGTCCGCTGTATAATTTTACATATAAAATGACAGCGATCTTCATTTCATAGCCATCGCTGACGCCGTTTTTTTTCGTTACATGGTATTGTATTGCTTTCAGATTTTCAAAATATAGCAAGCAATGTCCATTCGTTTTAATATTGTTATTTAAAATTCAAAAGATAAAATTTAATGAAAAATTTGACACGCTAAGACCGTTAGATTTTCTGCAAAATAACGTTATAATATTACTTCGAATGACAGCTGGGGAATATTCATGATCGGGGGTCATTAAAGATTGCGCCTTACGGCCAATTCGAAGTTAGTGAGGTTCCGTTATACATCGATTCATCGAAAACATCGATATCAATATTTTACTAAATATACAGGATGGTCCGAACTGTATTCTGGAAACTTCGGCAGCATATTCTGCAGATAAAAATAAGTAAAAAAGTCGGTATAAATGTATGTCCCAAAATGCTTAATTTCGGAGATACAGGGTGTAGAAGTTTCATTGTTATATCGATTTTTGAAAATAATTTCTGAAGTAATGTCAATATTTGGATAAAAATTGGTGTCTGGGAGTTTTTTGATATGAAAAATTTGATTTTGACGTGTCAATATGACTGCTATTTGTAGGGGGCGCCACCTACATGTGTTTTAACTATTTTACTGAGTGAAAAAATATACTTCCGTAACTTTAGGTAAAAAATGTCTCTTGGTATAACTCGCTACGAGCAACCGTTTTCAAGATATTTAAGAATGGAAATAGTCAATACATGTCATTATTAACAAAAAATAAATAAGTTGAGTAGATAGTTATTTGACCTGAAATAATAAATTTGGGAAATTTTAATTTTTTAAAATTAATCATAAATTTTTCATAAAAAATTTTTCTGCGAAAAAATGATGAGCTTTTGGCACAAAAACCTTTCAAATTTATGATTTCAGTCTAATAATTATTTAGTCAACATGTTTAATTTATGTCAATGATGACATGTATTGATAATTTAAATTCCAAATATCTCGAGAACCATTATTCTCGTAGCGATTTTTACCAAGATACCTTTTTTACGCAAAAAACGTCCTAAATATATATTTTTTTACTCAGTAGTTTTATTCAGTAGGTACGGACGAAAAGTATTATTCTAAAAAAAAGTATTAACCAGTTAAAAAATATGTAGGTAGCACCCCCTACAAATAGAAGTCATATTGACACATCAAAATCAAATTTCTCATGTCAAAAAACTCCCACACACCAATTTTCATCTAAATATTGACGTTACTTCAAAAATTATTTGGAAAAAATCGCATTTTGGGATATGCATTTATACGAATTTTTTTACTTATTTTTATCTACAGAATATGCTGCCGAAGTTTCCGGAATACAGTTCGGACTACCTTGTATAGACACTATCAATAAATATAATTTTTAGCAATTTTTAAATAATATTTCTTTTTTTTTAAATAACTGATATTCCTTGAAAAAATTCTAGGTGTTAAGCTTGATTTTCATGCATCCGTTGTCCGACGATACGTTGATACGATATTAATTTCATTGGTTGTATTTAAGGCTTCGATTGGTTAACCGTTTCTAACCAACCAAAGTCTTTAAATTCAACCAATAAAATTAATATCGTATCATCGTATCGTCGGACAACGGATGCATGAAAATCAAGCTTTTTATACGTTGATACGATGGTCCGACGGTGCTCTGATTGGTCATAGCATTTTCGCGCCACTTTTCATCCGTAAATATTTTACTTCAGCCCGTCAACGGACCCTTTCATATGATAACGGACGTTTTCACACTTTTTTGACAAACTTAATCTAACCTTAATAAAAATATAAGTAAAATAGCAAAATCGTTATGGAAACGAAAATATAAAATAACACCAACGTATATCCGATAAACGGTGGCATGAAAATGCAATAAATTTAAAAACTGCGTTATTTTCTAACCAATCAAAGTCTTTAAATTCTACCAATAAAATTAATATCGTATCAACGTATCGTCGAACAACGGATGCATGAAAATCAAGCTTTACAGGGGCGAATATACGGGAGATGGACGTAATTACCTCTCCCAAGCAGTAATTTTTAAATAAGATAAAATGTGACATAAAATAAAATTATCATAAATATCAATCAAAATAGAAAACCCAGACCAATTCAAGTTTTTTTTCCAAAGTTACAAGACCTTTCCACGCAAATTTAATTTAAATTTAATACTTTATTTAAATCTCCAAAAAATCCTATATGGGTATTTCACCACTGCAAGAAAATCTACAAAATAAAATAGTTACTTTTTGTAAACACTTCTGCGTTAACACAAACGGAAACTACTTGTCAGAAGTTAGGTTTCCAGATATACCAATTTGCCTAACGAACAAAAAAATGCTTAATGTTTCTGTAAGTTTATCTCTTTCCGTCGTCGGAAGCAAAAAAAATACAAAGAATAAAGAAAAAAAAATATTTAAAACATTTAAATGCCAGTATTCGAGAACACTGTAGTTTTTCGGAAACAGATACGTCTACAAAAACCGTTGATGTTCTGTTAAAATGACATTATATCAAGTTAAACTTCAAAATTAACAATTACTACCTGATAATAATTACCTAATAAGGTAAAACCAAAAAGCCCCACACTTTCTGTATGACTATTTTTAATTTTTACGAATGTTACGTTCTGTAAAATGAAAAAAAAAACTAACTCCTGAAAAGTAGTTTCCGTTTGAGTTAACGCCAGAAGTGTTTAAAAAAATAACTATTTTATTTTGTAGATTTTCTTGCAGTGGCGAAATATATCTGTTTTTTTTTCTCAGCTAAGATTTCGACAGACGATGACAGAAGATAAGCAGATGACGTCCCATACCAATCTATTTATTTTACTGAAAAAAGTTTCTAATAATTTTTAAGTTAACTATGGATGGGTTTAAATATAAATCCGTCATACGCCGTCTCTTGTTGCTTTTAACCAGTTTTATTGGTTTATTGTAAAAATGACAGATCGTATTTCAATTTTATTGGTTTGACGCTTGGTTTGACGGAACGATGAACGACAAACGGACGCCGATGCGTATGAACTCGCCTTTAGATTTTTGACGCTTGTCAAAGTCTTGCCAAATTATAGGTTATAATTTTCTGTCAACTTTTGTCAAATATCCTGCGTTTTGGAAGACGATGCATTTTGATTCGTGTTATTACGTGTGTTTTGTGTCAAGTGGAGGAAAAATCGAGTGAAAATTAACTGTAGACCCAGAGCACAGTTTATGGTTAATACTCGCTGCCCAGGCAGAAAGTCTTATACACCAATAAAGTTATCATCAATAAAGTTCGTATACCATCTCGTCGTAGATAAGTGCATCTCGAATACGATAGAAAGACCATACTAAACACATACAAAAAACTGGAGTAGCTGTAAAATATCGACATCACACGATAGGTAAATAATGGATTTTAGTACTGCAGAAAAATAATGTCAAAAGGTACTGGTTTAAAAAAATTAAGATTAAAGTTAATTAATCAACCTTTAAGGTATAAAATTTGGTAAGTCTCATTACCTATTAATAAAATACTTTGTTTTATTTATGTTGTTTTATTTTTCCTGCGGAATATTTCACATTTGTATTTGTACATAAGTTATATTGATAAATATGATCATAAATGCGGGAAGTTTCATAAAGCTTGAAAGTAAAAAATAGTTTTTTTATA